AAGCATGCAAAATTGGTCAAAAAATTTAAGCATAACCAACAGACATCAGCAGTACAATTATCTCAGTTATCCTCCTATATGCATACATATATTTTCCCTACCTTCTTTCTTTCTGTTTGTGCATTCTTAACGTCCTATTCTGACAAAGCACAGTGTCCTAACCTCCAAGGCGTAAGACATGCTTAGTAGCTTAGAAAGATGGACGTGGTCTCTAATTGTGGTATGAGTCAGCGAGAAAAATAGAGACAGTATGACCACAAATTCCTCCCATCAGACTAGACACATTTTATACTTGAAGGAGACTTATGATTTCCCATTATGATGAACATAAACTCCATTCATATGAGCCTAAATTATCAGACCTCAGGGAAGCTGAAGTATTTGTTTTTTATCCAAAAGTCATTATGTCTTCTTGTAGTTCTTCTCGGCATGTTTTCCAAGTGGAGCAGTTTTTCCTTCCAGGAGGAACTCCAAGAAGTTTTAGGGGATTTTTTTTTTTTTTTTTTTTTTTTTTTTTAAACAAAATCTAAAATCTCTTTTTTTTTTTTTTTTTTTTTTGTCTACAAACAAAATACTATTTCAACCTTACCTGAGGCTCTGGTAGAATCCCCATCACCATAAAGCAAAGCTCCCTCAGGGCGGTAGATGCCTAATAAAAACAGAAGATAAATGGGCTGTGGTCTGTTCACACAGAATCTGCACAGAAGACGTAACTTCGAATGTGAGGAGTGCAGGATATTCTAGCTGAGGGTCCCAGGAGAGGACCCTTTCTGTGAACCACTGAAACTGTACTGGAACCCCTTGATTTCTCTCATAACAAAAACTTAGCTGCTAGAAAATAAAGGCTTCCTTCCAACCAGGGGGAGAAAAGCTGTGTGCCATACATACCTGCACTGATTAAGGCTTCCACTGTGGGCCAGTTACTCAGTTCTCAGCACTTGCTAAAACTCTATGACTAAGAGTAACTAGGGCAGTGCCAAACAGAGATTAGTCTCCCCAGCTTGTGCATGCCAAAGCCATGAGCCTGGCAGAATATTACTCATTACTGGCTAACTTGAAAATCCTACAATTGCTCCCAAACAATGGGAACTGGAGAGAAGAAGCCATGCGTGGTGCACCTAATCTGAGTACCACCCTCTCAGCTTGCTGACTGCACACCCCAGGATCAGGTTTGTCCAAGCATCTGAGCACAAAAGCAGGGCAGGGTTCCCTGTGGTTAGCAGACAGCTGGGTGTGGTACGGAGCAGCACGAAAGGACAAGCAGAGGCAAAACCTGCCTTGCACAGGATCTAGCCCCGTAGCGCCGCAGTTGATTTGGAAGTAATGCGGAGCAGGACCGGGACAGGGACAGGGACAGGATCAGTGGTTAAAAGCACGGGCTACGGTGGTGGGCAGCCTGCAACGCTATAGCAGTGAAACTCCATTTCCATGCTTTTCTAGCTGTGTTACCACGGGCTGCTGACCTAATCTCTCCAAACTTCAGTTTCTTCAGCCAGAAGTCAGGGGTGACATCACCGCAGGGCGTCCCCGGAAGAACTAAAGGCGGGTAAACTTCTTCAGTTTGATTGACAGCTGCAGGCACTCAATTTAGAAGATCCCTGAAGGCCTTATCCTCGCCCTTTGAAAACCAGTGCATGCCTAACACAGCGGGTTGGGCAAGAGACACACTGAGTCATGACACAGGCTCCGTGCTTCCCTCCTGGCATCGGGGATCCGCTTTTGCCTTTTTCCCTCCATTTTTGTCTGCCGGCACGTAAATGGTTGGGATGTTTATTAACAACACCAGATAGCTCGTGCTTATATGGTGTTTCCATAAGTTACAAAAGGCTTTCAAAAGCCTAGTGTGCGTTCTGTCCTTAAAACACAAGCATGGGACACAAGCAGGATGGGAACTGCTCTTCTGGTGCACAGATGAAGCCAGGTTCTAAGAGACTGTCCTTTGTGCAGTACCACAGGAGGCTGGAGGTTGGTAGTGTGTGTCTGCGAGCTAAGTCTTGGGCCACATTGCACTGTCTATTAAGCCTTGCAGTTGAGAGTTGACTTTGAGTATGTATGTCTGTGTGTGTGTGTGTGTGTGTGTGTGTGTGTGTGTGTTACTAGAGATCAAAACCAGAGCCTTTGCACCAAGCTACATTCCCATCCCTTTAAAAACATTTTTTGACAGGTTCTTATCAAGTCACTGGGTTCAAATTTAGCAGTTCTCCTGTCTCAGCCTTCCAGAGTGCTGAGGTTACAGGAGTGCGCCTTCACACCTGGCCGACTTTGTTTCTTTGGAGTTTTTGTTTTGTTTTGCTTTGTTTTTTGGCAGTGCTGTGGATTGAACCCAGGTCCTCACGCATGCTAGGCAAGCGCTCTAGCCCTGAGCTACATTCCCAGTGCATGCATCTAGGAAATGGGCAAAAAAGTGTAGAGTGTAGGGCAGGAATACAGCTCAGCAGCACAAGCACCTGCCTGGCATATGCAAGGTCCTGAGTTTGATTCCTGGTACCAAAAAAAGAGAAAATGTAGAGTGCGAACACTGATACATCCATTTCTTTTGTTTTCCTTCAGGTCGCCTGATAAAGATCTGGAAATAAAATCACTGAAGCTCTTTTTATGGCCCATGTAGAAATGTTACAAAATATCCACCAGTAAAAAGAAAATATTTAATCACCACTTATCAATGATACATCCCAATTGGAAGAACAAATTTGCACATATAAAGCTGGATGATGCTTGGCGGTTATATTCAGCCTGGACATGTTTTGAATCAAATATATCTTCTCTAGCTCCTTTTTGCAAAAAGCTATTATTTTTAACAATTCTTTAAAAGTTTTTCATGTATGGCATATTAATATTTTATTTTTATTTGTGGGTCTTAAAGAGCCACTATTTTCTATTTAGGAGAAATATTTTAAAATACTGTTCAGATAATCACATAAATGATAACAGTAAATGTGAAAACTAATGTTGTTTTGAAATATATATCAAAGTATATCACAATCTGCATAAGTATAAAAGACTCAAATATTAAATTTACTGAGCTCTTAAAAGTTACACAGAACTGGAATCCAATAAAAATCTAGTTTATCTTGATGTAGTTTAAATAAGTGCTGTAAAATCCATCTTCCTTTTATATCCTGCAGATGTAAAAATGACTCTGAAGATGCTCCTGAATTTTAAATACAGCACGACAGCTCATGTGCTGATGGCCTTTGTGTTATGCATCTACCAACGCTCCTCGAGGAATCTGAAAGTGTTCCACAACGTCATCGGCTGTGATCCTGGTCTTGCTTTACCACCTAATCCCTCCAGCTTCCTGCAGGGAATCGCCTGCCCTCTGAGGCAGGCAAGAGGCTGAGCGTGCACCCCGGCAGGGTGACCTTCTGCAAGGACTGTGTGACTGACAGGCGCCCTGGTTCCCGGCCGGACTGCGGGGCAGCAGGCACCAGAGGGGTGCTTCAAGGCAGTAAGGCTAACTCAGCTCTCCCTGTGCTCACACATAGATCTGCAGACAGAACCAGCAGCATCCAGAAAAGGCAATGTAGGGAAAAGGGCCTTATCACCACTCATGTGGGACTGGCGCTCCTGGCCTCTCTGCAATCTTCTTGAAACTCCTTCCAATGGAAAGAGGGGTGAGCTGTCTGGTGGGTGAACTGGGAGGGGGAACTGGCATGTGCAGTTCGGCCTTTGAGCCTCCAGAAGCCCGTGCTCCGGCCAGCTTGTCTGGTGTGTGCCCTGTACCTGGGAACCTGACTGGCCGCTGTCTGAGATTCCCGATCAGGTGGGGCATTGGATCTAAAGCCACATTCGAATTGACTTTTCAGTCAAAATGATGCCACTTGGATTTCCTTAAGTTTACTGACATGTTTAAAACTCAACTGGAGGACGAGATATTGGTCCTCAGATCCAGCAAAAACTATAATATTTCTGACTTAACACAGAATTTGATTTTGAAAGTAGCCTTTTAATTTGACATTCTGTACTTTCCAAAATATGTGTACATGATCTGTATTTTATTTAGAGATAAAAGCTCTAGCATTTTAAAACACAAGCCTGTAGTACTAATTATGACCTGCTGAGGATATAATGCAGGTCATATAATGTGCTGACATATTTTAATGAGTTCATAAACGTCCCAAGGGACAAACGAGAATTTTCAGCACTGCCCAAACACTGTTACAAACCCGTCCAATAGAAATTACCTGAGGCCGAGGGCCAATGGTCAGAAAGGATAAGCAAGCATCATTTATCTGTAGAAAACAAAAATGTCATTTAGTTTCTGGAAATAGACAGAAAATAGCAAAGAACAGAAAGATGTTTACTGTCACCTACATGACAGTAATCAAACTTCCAAGCCAGCTAAGGATTCTGGATGTGGAAGAGAGGAGACCCTAAATTTTATAAGGACACCCTGGAGTTGGGATTTGCCTGTCCCAGCAACAGGGCTCTACGTCCCCAACACTAGCTGGTAGGGATCACAGACACCTCAAGGTCGAGGGCAAGATCTTCTGTTGCTATTTAGTCTGAGCAATGTGAGCGGTGGCCAGAGAACGGCCTTGAGTGCAGTTATTACACATAAATCTTTTTTTTTTGTTTTGTTTTGTTTTGGTTTTTCTCCGGTACCGGGAACCGAACTCATGACCTTATGCTTGCCAGGCAGGTGCTTTGCCGCTGAGCTAAATCCCCAGCCCCTATTACACACAAATCTAATGTCACCTAACTTAACATGATGACTGCACGTCACATACAGCACACAGGAAAAACTAAGACAACATTAGCAACCCACTAGCTCTCTCTGTGGGACAAGCATCAGATAAGAGTTCTATTTTATAATGAACATTTATTGAACTATGGCCAGCAATGAGCTCTTCTCAACCTTCATTCTACAGAGAAAATTTTGGAGACTTCAAACTGTAGGGTAAGAGATTTATGTTAACCATAAAAAGCATTTGCTGAGAGGCTGAGCAATGAATTGGATGCATGGAGTTGTTTATGGCGTTTATTGCTTTGGGGACCTTTTCAAATGGGACTGGAAAAATGGTGATCCTTGTGTGTCTGGAATGATTTGGGTTGAGTCTTGTTTATGACATAAACAGAGGCTCTCAGAGGCCCCTTCCTATCCCAGAAGTCTTTGTTAACCCATTTATTTAATTTGTATTCTCATATCAGACTGAAGGGAGGGGATTTTTATACTTTTCAGTCATAATTTCTCAAGCTCCTTATGGCTTCCATGTAGGCCAGGCATGGTGGTGGTGCACACCTCCAGCACTCAGACGCTGAAGCACAAGGATCTCTGCAAGTTCGAGGCCAGCCTGGGCTACAAAGTGAGTTCAAGGCCAGTTGGAACTGCATGGTGAGGCCCTGCCTCAAAAAGACAAACAAACCCTAAACTGTCAGCCAAGTTGACCATGTCCTAAAAATGATTCTTTAATTTAAAGAATTACAGAAGTACCAGACAATACAGAAAAGCACAAGATTACATTTTTCTCCTTTTTATCCTCACAGAACTTGTCACCTTCTCTGTGTATTACAAATATTTGGGGAATATGTGGATATTCCACTCATTGTTTGCGTCTATCTACCTGTTTCTTTCTCTATGCTATACAAATACAGAATCACGGACAAAAGGACACACACACACACACACACACACACACATACACACAAACTTCTTGAGGCAGGGGCTATGTTATACAGAACTCATCCAGAATAAATATCAATAAAATTCTTTAATTAAGTTGAACTGAATTTGTGAGAAATTTAAAAAATAATAAAAAGAGAAAAGAACAGTCAGTTGAGAGGGAAAGCAAAAAGATGCCTTTTTTTCTCTTTTTCTTCGGTATTAGGGATCTAACCCCGTGCCACTCTACCACTGAGTTACACCCCGGCCATCATCATCATCATCATCATCATGGGGGTTTTTTGTTCTGCTTTTTTCCCGGTACTGGGAATCAAACTCACGACCTTGCGCTTGCCAGGCAGGTGCTGTGCCACTGAGCTAAATCCCCAGCCCCTATCATCATCATCATCATCATCATCATCATCATCATCATTATTACTATCTTGAGACAGTCTTGCTAAGTTGCCCAGGCTGGCCTCAAATGAGATCCTCTCACTTCAGTCTCCCAAGTAGCTGGGATCACAAAAGAAGATGCCCTTTTAAGCTCTTCTCACCGGTACTTACTACACTGCCTCCAACTGTACGGTCTCTGTTCTGTAGGACAGGAGCAAGTGGTTCTTCCTGAAATGTGCATGTATGAGGCATCTGAAGACATTACTCTCTCAAGGGGAATGTCATCCACCCGCAAGCCAGGCCCGTGTCCAAGAATACAGACCCACTGAGCCTCAGCTGTGACTAATGAGTGCAGCAACATTGTTCCTAGAGAAATATTAGAATTTTTAAAAGCCTAATTAATAAAACTAGGAGGTCACTGCAAAGCTCTCCAGTCTTTTTCTCATGCTTTTGAAAGGCAGAGCAACATTCCTCACCAGCTTTCCACCTGGGTAAGCATTTGTTCATTTCACTCAGCTTGCGGCTCTGATGGTTTTGAGTGCCACTAGCTACTTTTTGAGATCCCTGTACGGGACATTGGAGAATCTACTTGAAAATGGTTAGGTCTTCATATATAGCTGGAAAAGTTTGTGTTGTTAGTGTCTGAAGAACTCTGGACTTTTTCAAACCTCCAGGTTATAAAAATGTAAAATTTGTTTTTCGCATCTGAACTGCTTTAAGTATCTTTTTTTTTTAATAAAAGAATGTATAGCACTTTTACAGCTATTTGAGTTTCCTTTCAGCATTACCATCTAAAATATTTTCCAAAGATTTTCCACAGAAATAGATGATTTCAAGCTAAACTAAATGTTTCTGCATTATACATTAATATCTGCTGTCTTGATTAATACTCCTCTTGTTTCATATTTCTACCATGTACCAAGGCGGAGATCCTTAGACTTTGTGAATTTCCATACTATTGAAGAGTGCTTAGGAGCTGGGACTAGCAATCAAGCTTGCCTTTTCTTTCATGTTGGTGGTGGCCTAGGGGCAAAGAGTATTTTCAGTTCATAGCACACTACCATCATTAGCCTTTGTTATTTTAATATTTCCAGCCTATCCCATTCCATCTTTCCATAGGCAGCTCTTCCAATGTACTTGATGTGTCTCCTCCTTTTGTGTATATTCTTGTCAAATCTGTTCTGTCTCCATCTATGGTATTCTCTTACTCCCCCCCCCCCCCCCGCGTAACACTGCGAGATCTATCCGTGGTGCTGGTTGTACATTTGTATGTTGCTTCTAACTGCTGTACGGTACTCTGTCACGCGTACCCATCACGTATGTTTATCCACTCTCCGGTGATGGACCACTGTGATCTCACCATTTTTTTCCATTACAAACAAATCTTCAGTCAGCCTCCATTTTTGTTTTGTTTTGTTTTGTTTTTCTTTCCGGTACCAGGAATCGAACTCATGACCTTGTGCTTGGCAGGCAGGCATTTTGCTGCTGAGCTAAATCTCCAGCCCCTCAGCCTCCTTGCATGATTGTTATGTTTTCTGCATATGGATAATTGTCTAGGCTCCACAATCAGGTGAGGGAACACTGAATCATTGAGAGACAGAATCTGCTTTCCAGGTGGTCCCACCAGTTGACCCTCACCGGGGACGCATGAGGCATGGTACACCCCACACCCTTACTAAGTTGCCATTGAGTAGATTTCTATTTTCTGCCAGTCTGTTTGGTAGAATGTGACACTTTTTCTCCTAATCTTCATTTGATTGTTACAATGAATCTGAACATCTCTTTAGATGCTTGTTGGACTTCCTCTTTTGTAAGCTGTTGTTATCTTTAGACTGTTCTTATTTTGGCTTCTAACTTTTCCCATTAATTTTTGATGGGGCATTTTAAATATTCTGTATGTATGTATTCTATATTTACCAATTTTAAATATTATCATGTCTTTCAAAGGCTCTCATATTTCTGTAGAATCCTTTCTTAAAGGAAATTTTTACTCTTTTTTTTCTTGTAGTGCTGCAGATTGAACCCAGGGCCTCATACATGCTAGGCAGAACTTTCAACTTTTATTCTTACTGTAATTCATTCATTATGATTTTGGTCTTATGATTTATAT